GAACCTGGAGAATTCCTGAATTCCAGTGCTATCCCATAAATGCTGGACATGACAGCATCCCCACAAAAGTGTGGTTGGGCTGAACAATCCCTTCTGCATTTATTGGCTTTTCTGGGTAGATTTCAAAATAGTTCAGTGCTACTTTATTACTATATAGAAACAATTTTTCCTCAGAGAAAAAGACTGTGGAATCTATCAGTGTTCTTAATGGACTGCAATTATTTAATATTGCAGCATGAATGCAGCCTAAGTCAGATGAGCTTTTCAGCGGAGATCATAATGACTGTAATTGCAAAAGGATGCCTTGCTGAAGTAGAAGCTGCCAGTTGCAGTGCCATTCTGATCGAAAAAGGTCACAGTAAAAGGGACATTTAAATTAAGTTATAAATTACAATTGAAGAACAATATTTTGATGAGCAAAACCAGAGATGTCAGAGCTGCAAGATGTAATTCATGGGTTCATTACAGAACAGAGGTGCCTGACAGCTGAGCCATGCCAAAAGGAGAATTTATTTGCAACATCACGCAGACAGAAAATGGCAGCTCTGCTGAGAAGCTGTAGTAGAAACTTGAAGCCTCGTGGTAATGTGAAGACTTTATGGTAATAAGGCTTCCCTGTGATCTAGCATTGTTTAATGACTGTTATAATAGAAATGAGGTTTTTGAACACGTGCACATTTGGAATTTTCCTTTCATCTAAAATCCTGTCCAGTGACGTGGAAGTTGCTGTATTTTCTGTTTTAAAGTGTAAGTGCATTTGTCTTGATTCCTTTTGTTGCAGTTGTGTGTGTATATAATGTCACAGTGGTTCAAAATTTAGATAGCAGAGTTAATGCTAAAAATGGTATTCTGTAGATGACAGGATAGTAATCTAGTGTTTTGTTTATAGCAATACCTTGAAAAGTTCAACCAGCAGTTAATGAAACCATAGGCAGTCATCATTAGCTATTATTTATATGTTTGTGTTGCTTGCCAATAAAGTCCTTATATATAATAAATGACTGACAGTCATAAGCAGAGAATTAATAGGCCAGATTGAAACAAGTAAATTTAACTCTGGCACTTATAAAAAAAATATTTTTCCTTTTTGCTGCATTATCCTACTCATGGCATTTATAAAAACTGATTTTTGTCTGCTTGCTAAAAGTAACATTTTCAGGAGAATCTAAACTTGTATCAGTACTCTTGTTTTCACATCTGTCTTTTCTGTTATATGACTCATCTTTTAGCTCTGTGCTTATGGGCTTTGTGATTGTTATTAATGTAATTACTTGGTCAAAAGTTAATGCTCATATTTTCTGTGGGTAATTTGGGACAGTTCTGGTGGCCTGTAAACTCGTGTATTTCTTAGTAACCAGAGTAGCTGCCTCTTAGACCAGCCCATTCTTTCTGGGCTTGTCTGATTTTTTTGCAGATTGAGCTGCTTGGGCAATGGTGCTGCCAGGGAAAAACACGTGTTGTCCTTGAGGCGAAATAAAGATGCCCTCCAAGTCACAAAGAGGCTTTGGCATTGCTGCATGTTTTTGGAGAGAGCAAAGAGGGAATAGAAACAGAAGCACCATTCTTTTCAACACTGTCAAATTTCCTAAGTGAAAAATCTTTTAGGTAGTGGCATGCACAGAAAAAGCATTTGCAAGGTGAGCTGGCGAAACAAACAGTCCTTTTTTTCTTTAAGATGGATCTGTTGCTAGTGCTGGAGTGCAAACAAGGAGAAAAATTAATGTGTACCCAGTAGAAAAGACAACATCTTATTTTCATGCCTTTAAGTAGCTATTTCATGCCACAGGAATCTTTAAAAAAAATAATAAAAATAAATAATTAAGGTCATTAGTGTTGTTGGAGTGTTGGCGTTGAGCACTGGCACTGCGAGTCAGGCTTTCTACTCTTATCATCTGGCTTCTGGTAAGATGGACCGAGATCATTGTTTCACTTGCATGGAGGTGTAGTCCGGGGAGCTGACACTGATGTAGTCAACAGAGGCAGATTTACAAGCCATCCTGCTGTTGTACAGTAGGAAATTTCACGTGGGGAGACAGGTTTGAAAGGAATAGTTTGTACTAAGTGATCTCAGGTAATGCATTTCCCGGACTTAGGGCTATGTGAGGCTCTGCTGTGTTGATGGCTCTGCTGTATTAATGCATCTCCTAGCAGCAGCTTGCAGAGATCAGGTAACTGAAGGAGGAGTGTGGGGAGGAAATAATTTTTTGGAAGCTGAAGCATTGTTTTCTATTGTTACACGATAAAAGTACATATAGTTATAATTATTGCAGAGAGTGTCTGTAACTTCCCTGTAGGTGCCATATAGAAAGCTGAAAATGAATAGAAAACCACTCTGGCTTAGTTTTCTTTCTTGTTCCCATTATATTAGCCAAGTGCAGTAACACCCTGTATGCTATTGTTATTTTAGGTGTTGGTAAGGAGAGGAGGGGGGAAAAAAAAATGTTCACACTGCCAGTTAAGGGAACATTACTGCTTGTTCTAAAAACACATTGCAGGTAGTGATCTTTACCCAGCAGTGACCTTTTATTTTTAGAAGTACATTGCTTTCTCTAAAAGTCCTTGAAGAATAAATAAACTTTGAATATTCTGATAACTGGGTGGAGGTGGAAGAGCACCTGCATCAGTTCAAGATCTGTTCCTACAGATAATAGAAGATTTGATCCAATTTGTGTGAAGTGTTAACCCATAATGCACTAATTTTTCCTTTAACACAGCTGATAACATGTTCATCCCTGGCAGTGGGAGATATGCAGTATGACTTTTGAGTGGCCTGATTTTTTAGAGGGCTATGCACTTCTCCTTTTACAGCTAACTGTTCCTCTGCATTTTTGGACCTCAGACAACCTCTTTGAGGTGTTTATTAATAATTGTTGAGCAAATCTTTTTCCGGAAACTTCAGGTGTTACAAAGGAAGCTTGAGATTATATGGAACTGAAATTTCATCAGCAAATGGAATAAATGAGCTGTTCTTTTTAATATATTAAAGTTGATGTGCAGGGACTTTTTCTTTAATGAAGAAAACAGAGTAATTTCTGGTGTACTTTGTGCTGCAAACCAATTGGCTTATAGACTGTCACAATCCATTCTGTGGCATTCATGACCAGAAAACTGAGATGCTAATAAAATAGATGGGAAGATGGCATAGCATGATATATGGTATCCCAAATCACCATTCCATAAAGTGCTCCAGTATCACAGACCAGAGTGCCTTGTATGAAATGGCCACTTTTTGTTCTGTTTATGGTATAATTTTTATTGGAAAAGTGAACCCTCTTTTATAAGAAAACCGTGTCCTTCCAGATGCACAAGCTGTTTAAAACCTGAGTTGACAAAAGCCAGGAAGTGAAAGTGAAGACTGTTTTGTACCAGGTCTTACAGATGTGCTTTCTTTTCACAGCTGCGTGAGTCCCGTACAGAGCAGAGCTTTGCTTTCGATTTCCCAGCTTTTGGCAAGTTCTGCTGTAGCTCTTGAAATCTTGTTGAATATTCTGCCCTGTAATTTGCAGAAGTAGCATGGCTCTGGACCATGGCTTCCTTACAGCGGGCTTGTCCCACCTAAAGCCTAGATTGAGCAGTGTTTGGTTTAAAAGAAGCATATATATATATATATATATATATATGTTTATAATACACACACATGTATATATGCCCACTGTATTTTGCTGTAAATGGCACCACAACAATCTCAGCTGCCATTTGACTTTCTTCCTTCTGGGAGTTGTATGGTGGCTTTCAAAAGTCAGCGCGCAAACCTTTCACAGAGAGATTATTTACTGGGGGAACTGTACAAAGCTGGCTTTCAGTGGGAACAAATTTTTATTATTGTCTCACAAAAAAAAATTCTGTACAGACTGATGTTTTTTTTTTCCCCTTCTATCTTGATTCAGTTGTCTGCCTCTGTTTCTTAGTAGAAATCACTTAGACCTACTTAACAGAAGTAAATTGGAGTAATTACAGCTTTGAAAAGTCTCTGAATCATGCTACAAGGTGCAGTATGAATATAGGGCATTCTTGTGCTCTAAAGAGCTTACAGTCTGAGTTGAGACAAAATCCAGACAAAAGAAGGAATATAAGGAAAAACCAGTACCGTTAGGAGGTGGCCCTACGGTAGAAGGGGTCTGACCATTGTCAAATGTACATAATGGGTACTTACAGATTGGTTGAGAGATGTAAACAGCTAAAGTGAGCAGCAGTAAGAAAGTAATTGTGTTATTTTTATTTGAAGCACAATTCTGTTCTAAAATTTGAGCCTTTTGACATAAGAAAAATGAGATATTTTTTTTTTCCTCTTGTAATCAGATTTTGTTATAACTTTATATTAATAGTGACAAAGTAGTTCATATCTTGTTGCTGTTCAGTAATTGTATCTTCATCCTTGTTCAGTTCATCAGTCTTGGGAAAAGTTCAAGCATTATAGTACTTGTTGAAACGTCTTCCGAGAGTGATTAAGCATAGGTCTACTCCTCTAGTTACCTGTAGAGGTTTTTTTTTCCTTTCCACACTTGTCTTCCAACAACATGTTGATCTTTGCAGTGCAATAAAAATAATTTTCTGTATGGATGAACTTGACTTCTCATGGTTTGCAATCCTTCCTGTATGTTAGTTTTTTCAGTTGGTTTTACTTATCTGAATAAAAAATGCTGTATAAAATACAACTCCTTTTGAAAAGTAGTTTGTTGGAGCTTTTTAAAATTTCCCTTGGAATTTCTAATGTAAATAATATTTTTTAAGTTAACCAGAAAATCCTCAGTGCTTTATGGACTCAAAGGTTACCTGGGGGAAGTTTAGGAAGGAAGGGGAAAACATACTTGTTTTAATGCTGTTTCTTCTACTAATAACATCTCAATTACCCTTCAGGTTATTTAAATTTTACTTCATATATCAAAAATAAAAATAATTAGGCATAGAACATCTTGTGTGGCCCCCTTTAGTGGTTTTTCTCCAATATCAGATCCCTGCTAATTCCATTGAATGATCTATTTGTCTTCTTTATTTTTTAGCTACACGAAAGTAACTATGATGCTGGAAAAGCCCTGCAGCGCTTGGTGAAGAAACCTGTGCCAAAACTGATTGAGAAGTGTTGGACTGAAGATGAAGTGGTAGGGAAATGAATTATTTCCTTAAGCCTTATAGTTCATGTTGCATCTCTTGCTTTTTTCTCCCTTTTTTTTTCCCCCCTAAGGAAGGGTACCTGTATGGGAAAGTAGAGGGGCAAATAATTTGCTGCACAGGATAAATTTTTGCACAATTCTGGGCCTTCATTTGATATACAGAATGTTATTAGACTGGGGAAAATATGTCTCTAGTAGTAGAATAAGAGAGGAGAGAAGGTCAAGTGATTGGTTTTGAGAGAATATTGTAGGGTAAATGAAGAGCTGCAAAAATTCTGAACTCTGAATTTAGCTGTTGTTTTCACCTCCAGGAGGGCTGGCCATGTTCATTAATTGGAGTAGGACAAGATGTAAAAGGCAGACAAAGTCTTGTCCCTGGTGTTTTTTCCTGGTGGAACTGGAGGAGGTTTACAGTGTCAGCTCAGATTGCCTAATGGGAGGCTGGGTATCAGTGTTTCTCCTAAACAGAGTTCGAGATTAAGTCCCTTCTTCCCCCTCATATTAGAAAGTGTTTGCTAGCACAGTTCTTGATGGATGAATCTTTAACAAAGAGCAGACCAAAACCAGATTATCTGAAAGCTGGGATTGAGCCATGCCATCCACATTTACTTGAAAGTATTGTAGAAATTGTCAGACTCCAAAACTGCACTGAAGACAGTGCATCCATCTTATATGGAGCTCCCAAAGTGATGTATGGACATGATGAATTCGGGGCATGCAGTAAATACATCATGCAGTATGTGTCCTTACAGTTACTGACCTGGGATTGCTGAGGGATTTGGGCTCATACAATTTAACATCCTGGTAACACTGCAAGTCTCTTCAGCTTGCACCACTTAGTAGTCATAGTGCTGGTTTTGCCATGTGGCTGCTCTTTCAGCATGGGCTGGTAGCTGGTCTTTCCAGGTTTGGGGTTGTAGTGCAGGCAGGGAAGGAACATGTAAATGTGTCATTCTTTCCTTCAGACAGAGGTTGAGGTTTTTGGTGTATATGGCTTTGATTGAAATTTTACTGTTGTTATTAGCCTACTAAAAGATACTGCTCTGCAGTCTGATTAGTGGGGAAAAAACAATTTTGACCTGAGAAAGACACCTCTTCATAAAATCTCCAGTTGGCAGAGAGGGTGTGCTGCTGGGAAAGCATTTCATTATTTTTATTTCTGGGTGTTTTTCCAGAATTTGAGGGAGATTGTATCTGTGTGAGAATTAGTGAAGCAAAGGTGATTCTTGTGGTTCATTCTGCAGCCTAATTGCTGCAATTGTGAGGTTTCTGCTGGCTTAATTTTTATACATATATAATGCAACTGTGCTTATTAACCAGTTTTCTGTAGGGTTGTAAACCAAAATAAATCATGTGAAGTCAGGAGAAAATTATAGTTTCTTAATTTGCTGACACCTTGTAAACAAACAGATTCTTAAATCTTGCATTCAACACAAGATGCATTTTCTGGCAGCATTTGGAATCCAAATGCTGCTCCATTACAACCCGTTGTTTGTCAGACCATGTATTTCCAGTACCTAGGAGAAATGGTGAACAAGTTCACTTGGTTTACATCCTAAAAATATTTTGCATTTTAATGCTGATGTTAATTGTGCTTAACAGAATAGATTTATATTAAATGTTACACATAAGAAGACAGTAGCTCTTCAGCAAGCTGACCAGGCATGACTGGTTTTGTGAAAATGGAAAAATGTTAGATTTCCTAGCTCAATAATTAGGCTGCAGTGTGTACTAAAATAGAAAGTCAGATGATTGGAAGTTAGTTGTGATAAAATATTTATCACATAAGAACTTCAGACTTGCCTGGTTTTTACCTTTCACTGTTGGAAAAGCTGCTTCTCTCTTATGTAGCATATTGGAATAAACAGGGATAGAAATTCAGCTTGTCATTTATACTTACCAGATATATAAATGAAAAAAATCTGATACGGTGCAAGACAGCATTACTCATGCAGAAGTGACAAGAGAAAAGTGGTTTGGTTTGTTTTTGTTTTTGTTTTTTTTCTCCTTTGAATGAATTAAATTTTGAGCTAGTTAGTTAAGTGGTAAAGTATTTGAAGTAGTAAATAAAAATAAAAAATTTGTGGTCTTGTGAAGCTACTCAAAGTTGCAATGGTGCTGTAAAATAGAACTGATTAATAATGGGTGAACCTTTTGTGGTCTCTTAGCGTTTTTTAATTATTCAGACAATAGCTGGAGAGAGTTTTTAAGCTCTAGCTTCTCTGAAAGTCTTTCAGGGAGTTATTGTGCTTCCTCTCCATTTATGTAAACCTTTTTGCAAGAGCTAGATTAGGGGTAGGCCAGGCCATATAAACCTGTATTAAAGTAGGCTTATTCTGCAATCCAACAAAGAACCTTTGTGGTAAGGAGACTGCCTGAAGTCATAGAGTGAAAGAGGATCATGTGCTAACACCAAAGCAAAGGAGAGGATGAGTAAAAAGCCTAGAACACAGTTTCCTGGTAAGTTTTACAGTTATCTTGTCATAAAAGGGAGTTTTGTTTAGGGAACCGTCAGAACAGGTATTTCAAGTGCTCTGCCCTGGGTTTGGTAAGTTTGCATTCACATTATTTTAACCTGTGTTTTCTCTGCTTACATTCTTTTGCACATTCATGGTTAAGTTGTACAGTGCCAACACCTCTTTTTCCATGTAGATTTTTTTTCAGTCTCCTTGTTTTTTTTCCATGGGCTGCACCATGCTGTGAATGCAATAGCTGCTGCAGCTCAGGGTTTTTTGATGAGCGGTCCATGTTACATGATGGAGAATAGAGCCTTAGGAATAAGAAAGTAAAGTTTATTGAAAAGTGCACTTTTGGAGCACTGTTTCAAACTCTGAGTACAGAATAATGATCATTGACTCTATAAATCATTGTCAGTCTCAGCTCATTTTATCATATTTGTTCTTATTCTGTTCCATCCAAGTTTCCAGAAACGCTTGGCAGCTCTCCAGCCTCAGCAGAGCCAAAGATCAAACTGTGCTCTTATTTATAGACAGCTAAGCTCCACCTGCACAACTTCATAGCATGTTTGTCCCTGGCAGTTTGGAGAAAACTCCAGATTAAAGCAGCTGTACTGCACTTCTGAGCATTTCTGAGCCTTGCAAGGGAAGTTTCCTCATTGTTGGCTCTGTGAAACTGAGGAAAGCTTTCTGTGCGATACACAGGGTGCTAGAGCTGCATAGGAACTCCATAATAAAGTATTTTTCAGAAAACAATGATGTGTGAAACCCAAAGTCTGGCCAAAAAAAGTTAAATTTTGTGATTAAATGTCATCCCCCCCCACCATGTCGTGATGGCAAGTGATGAGCAGGAGGAAGCCTCTAGTAATGTGGCCAGCTGATAATCCAAGAGAAGCACTTCTGAGGGAAGTGGAAGACTCGGGTCCAAACCATGGTCCTATTTGTGCTGAACATAGAATTAATCTCTTCTTGTGGCCCAGCAAATATCTACTTCCTTAATTTTTACAACTTGTACAAATAAGCAGATACCACACCAGGTGCAAAGCTTTGGTTAGTTCACCTCCCTAACAGAGAGGTTCTGTGGCCTGTGAACAATTCAAATAATGTAGATAATGGTTTTTGTTGTCCCAGTTTTTCCATTCCTGCCTTTCTAATCCTGTAACCATGTTCTGCCCCCTGCCATGCCTCTGGACCCCAGAAAAGTCACACTCCCCCTTTTGTTACTCTTCAGTTCATTTTCTGCCAGATTTTTAAGCTGGGTGGAGAGCAGAGAGCCAGAGGGAAAGGAACATTGTGACACTGCCAAGTAATGGGGCAGGTGGCAAAAGAAACTGAAGGAGAAGCGTAGTCACATTGACACAGGGAAATAACTGACTTAGTACAAAAGTAATTCTTACAACTTTACACTTCCCTAAGTCAAAAATCCTCTGTAAATTGGTTTGTCTGTTACTTGCACGAGTATTTTGACTGACTCCATTTCCACTGTGCTGGATGACTAATGTAGTTTTGATGTTCACATGTGATAGCAATGCTGTGTCCAGCCCAGGTTTCTGTAGTATTTAGTAGTATTTGTGATTTTACACTGTGAATAACTCTAATTTATTGAAAAATTATTTATTTATAATGCATTTAGCTTTTTTGTGGACTATCTGTTTCCCAAAGATAAAGCCTTACTTGTTAATTGAAACAGCTTTGTTGGCTCTGACAAAACTGTCAAGTAAAAGCTGCTTTGCAGTGATCAGAACTGATAAAAATAAAGGAGGGAAGTTACGTTATTTTTACTACTGATGATCTAGTTACAGAGGTTTAGATCAAATTAAACAGAAAATAAAATTGGCCAGTGATTGAATCAAATGGAAGGCTCTGTAAATATGAAGACAGAGGTTTGTTGTCCCCCTTGTGTTTCTAAACCTGTGGCTATTTTTAAACCTTTTTATTCCAGTATGTAAATTCAGATGCATACTGTGAAAACCAGTCTTCCATGCTGCTTAATAAAATTGGCTAAAGAAACTTCTTTACTGGTGCATCTACATGTAGCTCTAACAGCAGCTGTTTCCTGTTTATAAAGGCTGATGCTACACTTGACATGGGTTTACAGCAATGATTTGGTGAGAGGTGGTTGCTTTCTCTTGTAATGCTCATGATTTTTACTTCTGTGGACAAATATGTTGAGCAATTGTCATATATAATGCCATATTTAAGCACCTTCTAAGCACGCAGCTTATAGACTGACATTCAGCAGCATCAGCTGGTGGAATCTTGTTAGTGTTAGGCTGTGGTTTCAAATAAAGGGGTGCAGTTCAAAGCACGTATATTATCATAGACTGGTTTGGGTTGGAAGAGACCTTAAAGCTCACCCAGTTCCAACCCCCCTGCCATCATCAGGGACACCTTCCACTAGACCAGGTTGCTCAAAGCCTCATCCAACCTGGCCTTCAACACTTCCAGGGAGGAGCAGCCACAGCTTCTCTGGGCAACCTGGGCCAGTGTCTCACCACCCTCACAGCAAAGAATTTCTTCCTAATATCTCAT